GGGGGGGGGCAGCAAACTCATTTGCAGTCAGTCACGTTGCAACAAGGAAAACGGCGCAGGTAAAACGTGTGTGATTTCCAAAGGTACGAGCGCAAGTTTGCAAACGCCTTCTTTGAATTCACCACGACGACCATCCGTCTGCGTTCACGGAGGACGACGGAAAACGGAGAATCGTCACGACGTCAGGGCCTGAAATGCGCAAGGATTTGGACATTTGACTTGAACTTCAACAAGGTCTCGAAACAATTCGTCGATGATCACACGACTAGTTGCTTCATTTGATCAGCGATGAGTTGCCAATGAAGCCAACAACTTGTTCCACCTCAACACTCAAACTCCTCCTTTGCCTGACGGGAAGCTTTTTGGTCCGAAACTGGTGACTTTGGTGGAAGCAACCCACGTTCTCGTGACGATGACAGAAAAGGCAACAAAGAGACTTTTTCTGTTTCCTGCTCCAAGAAGAGGTTCTACTCTTGCTTTTGGCGAGGTTCGGTGCCTGCGCCGGCACGGAACCTAAAATGCCGCGGATCTTGAAAGAGCCGTCAAAATGCTTGAAAACTGTTGGGGGCTAACAATAATACAAGGGGACTTTTTTTGGGGGGGGGGGGGCGCTGAAACGGAACAATGGCATTTGCGTTCGTCTCAACGGGGGGAATGGATTTGATGGCTCCGAGCTCGATCCAACCACGACAACGTCAAGGTGCAGCCGGCCGCTCCACAACGTCAACCGATTCACGCGTCGGATGCCAACAAACAAGACGGCGATTGACGAGCGCAAGCGGAAAACGCCGAGCGACGACGCGTTCCTCGCGTCGGCTGAGCAAGCGAACGGCAGCTCGCGCGATTGAAAAAAAAAAACTTACCCGGTCGAACCGTCATCGGGTTGCGGCTCGCTCGCTCCGCGATCGCGTTTCCAAGATACAGACTTCGAGGGCCGTGACGTCACTAACGCCTGACAAGCAAGCGTTCTCGACACGTGTCGCGTGGCGATGACGTACCGCTAGGAAGCATTCGCTCGGGCGGGCTCGCGGGCGCCCTCTTCGGACGCAACGAATAATGCAAGGAAACATGCCGGAGCGCCTCGCTTGGCACGTTTCAATCGCTCGGTGACGGAGGCCGCTGCGCTCCGCTCCGCGCCGCGCGTGTTCTCGTCTCCTCCGTCTCGGGCGGGCCTGTCCAAAGTGGACACTCAAGGGCCGCCGTCGTGCCTGTTTTCCAGCTCTCGCGGGAGCAACGCCCCCGATTCACGTCATCAGGACGGTTCTCTTTGGAGGAGACTGGACTGTCTCGTTAAATGTGATTTAGTCCTTCGTCGTGTATTCACAAACGCCCCATAGAATTGAATTTTGTGATTTCGTCACTTGATTTTCTGTTGCGCCGGATTATTTTCGATGTTCTTTGCGTCATCGAAGTTGTCATTCATTTACGTTTTTCGGAGGCGGTCCTTGAACGTCTCTGGAGTCGAACGCCAGAAGAGAAGGCGACGAGACGCAGAAGGACGCGCTCATATTGGGCGAGATTGGGAAACGCGCGAATCAACTATCCGTTCCGAAAAACCAACACCACAGCGCTCCTTTTTCGGAGCTGCAACATTAGCCCTGTTCACACGGCAAGATTTACTCCGACTCTGCACCGAAGTATTTTGATGCGATGTATTTTACACCGGAGCAAATTTCGTGGACCGTTCACACGTGCAAGCCGCTGAGCGACGCTGCACCGACGTAGTGCCGAAGTAACTCCACTTGCGGTCACACGGGGCAGTATTTTGTTTCGCAGTAAAACATGCGCATGCGTAAAGAAAGAAGAAGGCGGGGAAAGGAAGTACCATTTCCCCTCCTTCGATTGTAACAAAAATGGCTTCTTCTCCGGAGAAATCAACGATGTGGTCGATTATCAGACGCCGCAGGAGAGCGAGAAAAGAAAGATTGCTGAAATACACAAGAGAACGAAAACAACGTATCCTTCGATTTCTTCAGCAACAAGTGGACGACTTCGTGGCGTAAGTACCCGTATGGACTCTTCCAGCGCGTAGCGAGGCCACTCCCCGGCAAGCGAGCATTTGCTCTGGAGCAAATTTACGCCAGTTGCGTTCACACGCGCACATTTGCTTCGGTGCTGCTTCGCAAACGAGCATTTGCTTCGGAGCAAATTTTTAAACCACCTCCCTGAGGTGGATCAAATTTAATGCGCACTAGGCTGTTGAGCGGCGCTACGTCGAAGTAAATTTGCACGTGTGAACGCTCCACTGGCGTAGAGTCGGTGCAGCGTCGGAGTAAATCTTG